GTTTGAAGAAAATCTTTCAATTAGACTAGTGTAGAACTTACAGAGCGGACACAACATACTGTCTAATATTTGATTGTTTGATATTTGACCTTCAATTGTGACCTTGACCTTAAGCTGCAACATGGGCAACATGGGTTCTGCACATCCCCTTGTTGATGTGAACATTTGAGCCAAGTTTGAAGAAAATGTTTCAATAAGTGTAGGACTTACAGAGCGGACACGACATGCTGTCTAATATTTGATTCTGTTTAGTAAGTAAGTAAGTAAGTAAGTAACGACTTTATTTAATGAGGCTAGCACATTCGGTTTCCCGATCTTCCATGTGGGCCTCAGCATATACATACAATGGAACATAACAACATATAAATACAATGTGACATAAATTAGATACAGTCAACATTTACAAAACAAAATTTAAGAAATAAACTGTTATTTTTTTTTTTTTTTTTTTTTTTTTTTTTTTTTACACTTTGTGGCATTTTCAAAAACTTCAATATTGAAAAATACAACTTATGTTAAAAAACAACACAGTTAGTCATCCTGGTATCATATGATGTTTGATACTTGACCTTCAATTGTGACCTCGACCTTGAGCTGACACAGCGGACACGACATGCTGTCTAATATTTGATTCTGTTTGATACTTGACCTTCAATTGTGACCTTGACCTTGAGCTTACACATGAGCAACATGGGTTCTGCACATCCCCTTGTTGAGGTGAACATATGAGCCAAGTTTGAAGAAAATCCTTCAATTGGTATAGGTGTTATAAAGCGGACATGAAAATGGAGACGGACGGCCCGACGGGACCAAGCAAATCCATTATAGGCCCCCCCACATTTTGTGGTGGGGGTATAATTATCCAGTAAATTGATATTCATAATACTGCACTTTTATACAGTTTTACAATATAAAATAAATATCATTAGAACTATATATGACATAATTATGAATGTATATCAAACCGCATATTTAAAAGTTTTCATACATGTTTTAGTTGCGAAAGACAAACAATTTTATATCACTGTTTAGTCTTAAATCTCCCACTTTCTTCTTATGAAGAGGCCTTTATATAAAAATTTCTGACAGTCTATAATTATATTAGACGTGACTAGTTTATCTGCATTGTAACTCTGTCTGAAATAGCATGATACCCTTCCTTTATTCACAAATCTTCTGACTGACTCATAACAAGGCTATATTATAAATGTAAACAATAAATTGTTATAATACCTGTTACCGAAAAGAGTTTCCTATAAGTTGTCAAAAATGATGACAGTGAGTCAAAAGAAATAAACTCTTCTCGCAAGATATTAAGTCTTTGTACATGTTAGAAACATTAGATTTAGCATACAGTCATGGTCCCGGGGAGCTAGCTTTAACCACTTTTTAATGTTTTTTAAACTATATCACTGCGCATGACCATCGTAGGCGATGACACACTGGTGATACATGATGGCACAATAGTACAGACGCCATGGTATGATCATGTCATCGTTTTTACATCATCGTAACATAGCATTTACACCAGTGTGTTATCATAGCATCTCATTTTCAAAGTCGTAGCCTCTGTACATGTATTGCAAGTTAGGGTAGAATAAAAAAGTCATGATTTTCCAAACAGAACATGTACAGGACTAGTAATAAATAGCATTTAGTTAACCATCTAAACACTGGGCGAGTAGGACCTACGAACGACCAGGTTGGTTAGACACTAATAAGAATAAATATTAGTTGAAATAGCTACTATCGGTCATACTCCTTTTTTTAACTATTACCTTTTAATTTTTTTCCCTTTATAACATTTACTCTTTACATATTAGTCTCTATAGCTATAACAAAAATAAATACCATTTATTAAGTATTAGAATAAATTAACTTACATACATATCAAACTGAAATTAAGAAAACATTGTTACATACATTTAGCCACTTTATTATAATTCGCTTTTTGATAGCCTTAAAATTGCTTGCATAAAATATTGTCAGTTAACAAATCATTATTTAAAGCACAGCTTAAATTGAAACTAAAGCCATGATTATGCCTATTAACTGTACAATAACTAAGGTTTATACAGATTTTTTTAAACAGATAAAGGTATGTTCCTGACTTATAATTAGTGAGTTTTTCCTTGAACAAGTGGTACTGCTATTGTTTACTGATCTTCCCTTCTTCGGTGCAGTTAAATGTTTTTTCCGCAAACTTTGAAAGCGCACGTCTTTTGGATAAAGTTCAACCATGAAATGTGATTTATATCAAGCAGTTATTGTAGCTTAAAATTCACTGTACACAGACACAGTATATATCTACATTTATTTTTGTTGAATGCATCCAAATTAAAAATATGTTGATCTAAATAAATTTTTTCAGTTTCTTTTAGTTTTGATATTACCAGTACATTATAACTATCATAACTATTCATTTAATTCACCCGCTAGTTTTGAACTCCGATTTCTTAGGTGACAGTTATCATCAACATCCACTAGGCCAGAGAGTCTATAACTAAGAGTGCTTCAAAAATAAAACTACTATCTTCCGTTACTTCCCTCATTCAGAATCAATAATTTCAAATTTCTATGTCTAAAACTAAAGATATTATAATATAGAAAAGATGTAGAATACAAACATTTTTAAATTATTTTCACACCTAAATCGCCGGGAATGGTGGACAAGACAGCAATTGTCTACCTTCAGTTTTAAGTGTGAGTTAATTCCCTTGAATTGTGAATAATTCTTATTCAAACAAGAGCTGTCGGTAGGACAGCACGCTCGACTATTCTAAGTGCTTGATAGTAAAAGAGCCTTTATATTGTTAAATTTTTTAAGTTCACAAAAGGGTTAATTTTTTTTTATAAATTCATGTTATAGGCCTTAGAGAGAGTATAATTATACAGTATTGACTTGACTATTCAGAAGGTAATGTCACAAGGGTGTTTTATTGAGTATAATAATACTAATTACCTATGAATACATAAATTTGACAGACAAGGTACAAAGGCTTGTTATTAAGATGTTTTATCAAGTAAATCACTGCTTTATTATTATGAATGCATAAAATTGTCCCAAAAAAGGCACAAACCCTTCAGTAGTTATTGAGACAACAGCTTACAAGCAAAACTTTACCATGAATTTCTAAGTTGAAAAAGGGGAGAAAAATCACCCTAAATGCAAGATAGAATTATGGATCTTTGTCAGTGACCTACAATTATGACCCTAAATGCATATGTGAAGTTTTAAATAAATATCTTTAATAGTTATTGAGATATGTAAAACTACCATGTAAACATTAACCAAGAGACTAAGTAGAAAAGGGGAGATGAATCAGCCTCAATGCAAGATAGAGTTTATGGAACTTGGTCAGTGACATACAATTATGACCCTCCAATTATGACCTTAAGTGCATGTGTAAAGTTTCAAGTAAATATCTTTGAAGACCTTTAACCTTTAACCAAAATTTCTAAGTTTCAAAGGGGCAAATAATTCTGCAAATATTGAAGGCAGAGTTATGCAATTTTGCAAACTGATGAACATTGTTACTATAAAAGAGTATTTTAAATTTCAATTGAATATCTCAAGCAATAATTGAGATATTTGACATAAAAAAAAAACTGTAACCAAAATATCTAAGTTCCAAAGGGGCATAATTCTGTCAATATTGTAGGCAGAGTTATCCAACTTGTCAATCTGATGTACCTTGTTACTATAAATAAGTATTGTAAGTTTCAATTGAATATCTCAAGCAATAATTGAGATATTTGACTTTACAAAAAACTTTAACCAAAATTTCTAAGTTAAAAAGGGGCATAATTCTGTCAATATTGTAGGCAGAGTTATCCAACTTGTCAATGTGATGTACCTTGTTACTATAAATAAGTTTTGTAAGTTTCAATTGAATATCTCAAGCAATAATTGAGATATTTGACTTTACAAAAAACTTTAACCAACGCAGACGCGGACGCCGACGCGACTACAATAGCTCTCATATTCTTCGAATAGTCGAGCTAATAAAAAATTAGTGTGCATTTATATTCTTCCTTGTCTTAAGACAGAAGGAATAGATAGAAATGAAGTATGTTATATAAACTTTCGATTTCACTCATCAATAAAACATGAAAAAATGTTTTCCACACTTGTATGTCATTCTTTCTAATGTACCATATTTTCGGACAGGAAATGTTCGGATATGATTTAATAATACAGTTAAATGCTATAAATCAGTTGTTATCGAAGGTTATTGTATTTCTATTAAGGTCTTCATGTCAGGAATATTTTTAATTAAAGTTGTTTAGTATACACAAATGCATTGGTACAAGCCAGAAAATATGATTATTATCAGCTGACCCGATTTACCATAGCAACAGCCAATGTTAGATTAACAGTATTTTTTTAAATGAAGAGCCAAAACCGACACCACCATATTTCTGTCGAAGCTTTGTTATATATATGGTTTCATTTAATGAAAAGGACTAGGTTTCGCTTGTGGCTCTTCATATCGTATTTTAAGCAAGTGCAGCAGCAAATGACCGATAATTCGCCATTTTGGCAAATATGCATGGTAAATGACATATACTTTCTAGATATGAAAATATCTTTTACTGTAATACTTTGCGATTTTTATATAGATAATAAGTCATTTTTTTGAGAAACTTGTATGATTTAATTTTTTTTTATTGGTTTTGAACTAATAAAATTACAGGGCTAAAATGCTTTGTTAGTGAACCTTGTCCTTTCTCCACAAGTTATAGACTACAACTCCAACAAAATTTCTGAGTCAGCAGTGAAAGATAAATGACTATTAAACTCAATGTCTGAGACCATTTATCACGAACAAATTCACTTCGCCCCAAGATGGAACAAGTGACCCTTAGATGACAAATCTGATGCACTCCCTTTTGAGTGAATTATAAATGATGCTGCTGGATGGTCAATAAAGCTTAACTTAAGAATCTTTTCATTCAGCTATATATACACTCAAAATTTCACATCAAAACTAAATTACCACTTTCAGTTTCAGCTTCCGAAGACTCGTCAGGACTACCTCCCCTACCACCACTTCCTGTCCTGCCTGTGAAACCATGTTGACCTTTGAACCCTCCATTAGCATCACAGTAGTCTATAAACCTAAAAGTGAAGAGCAATTTTGCTGGTATTCAAACAAACATATGTTGAAGTGTCAAAACAGATCCAGTGTTTTAAATTCATCATTTTGGTTGTACTGTATAAAAGAGTTGGAAAATCTATTTTTAGCCTCTATGACCTTGACTAGGGTTAAGGTTCATAGAGCTCTAGATTATCAGGCTATAAATAAAGGGTTTATGGGTAACATAAACATTTTTTATTTACTGTGATCATAAGCTATACAAAATAATATGAGCCGCGTCTTGACAAAACCAACATAGTGCGTTTCGACCAGCATGGATCCAGACCAGCCTGTGCATCCGTGCAGTCTGATCAGGATCCATGCTGTTCACTATCAGTTTCTCTAGTTGTAATAGAGTTGGTAAGCGAACAGCATGGCTCCTGATCTATGTTGGTTTCGTCATATTATATCTGATAATTTTTTGAGAAATTTTGTCCACAAAGTATAACAATTAAGTAAAGTTACTTTTTCCAGTTGGGGTCTTTTTCCAGTACAAGAGGATCTCCAATTACAATAAGCAGTGCTCTTGCCCTGGTCAATGCGACATTAAACCTCTAAAAATATAAAATATATCTCCAATTACAATAAGCAGTGCTCTTGCCCTGGTCAATGCGACATTAAATCTCTACAAATATAAAATATATCTCCAATTACAATAAGCAGTGCTCTTGCCCTGGTCAATGCTACATTAAACCTCTACAAATATAAAATATATCTCCAATCACAATAAGCAGTGCTCTTGCCCTGGTCAATGCGACATTAAACCTCTACAAATATAAAATATATCTCCAATTACAATAAGCAGTGCTCTTGCCCTGGTCAATGCGACATTAAACCTCTACAAATATAAAATATATCTCCAATCACAATAAGCAGTGCTCTTGCCCTGGTCAATGCGACATTAAACCTCTACAAATATAAAATATATCTCCAATCACAATAAGCAGTGCTCTTGCCCTGGTCAATGCGACATTAAATCTCTACAAATATAAAATATATCTCCAATCACAATAAGCAGTGCTTTTGCCCTGGTCAATGCGACATTAAACCTCTACAAATATAAAATATATCTCCAATCACAATAAGCAGTGCTCTTGCCTTGGTCAATGCGACATTAAACCTCTACAAATATAAAATATATCTCCAATCACAATAAGCAGTGCTCTTGCCCTGGTCAATGCGACATTAAACCTCTACAAATATAAATATATCTCCAATTACAATAAGCAGTGCTCTTGCCCTGGTCAATGCTACATTAAACCTCTACAAATATAAAATATATCTCCAATCACAATAAGCAGTGCTCTTGCCCTGGTCAATGCGACATTAAATCTCTACAAATATAAAATATATCTCCAATTACAATAAGCAGTGCTCTTGCCCTGGTCAATGCTACATTAAACCTCTACAAATATATCTCCAATCACAATAAGCAGTGCTCTTGCCCTGGTCAATGCGACATTAAATCTCTACAAATATAAAATATATCTCCAATTACAATAAGCAGTGCTCTTGCCCTGGTCAATGCTACATTAAACCTCTACAAATATAAAATATATCTCCAATTACAATAAGCAGTGCTCTTGCCCTGGTCAATGCGACATTAAACCTCTACAAATATAAATATATCTCCAATTACAATAAGCAGTGCTCTTGCCCTGGTCAATGCGACATTAAACCTCTACAAATATAAAATATATCTCCAATTACAATAAGCAATGCTCTTGCCCTGGTCAATGCTACATTAAACCTCTACAAATATAAAATATATCTCCAATTACAATAAGCAGTGCTCTTGCCCTGGTCAATGCTACATTAAACCTCTACAAATATAAAATATATCTCCAATTACAATAAGCAGTGCTCTTGCCCTGGTCAATGCAACATTAAACCTCTACAAATATAAAATATTTATTACATGCTTTTTGGTGGTTTATAGAAATATATCAGTGAAATAAAACTGGTAATTTCACTGTTTGAAACAGTGAAATTACCACTTTGATAATTTCACTGTTTTGAATTTAAGCCCCTTATGTTGTTTCAGTGAAATGCCAGTGTGCACAGTACTGGGTACCAACTTAATGACGTGACGTCGTAAATGACGTCACGTTGTATTATTATTTGGCGCGCTTTTCATTCAGTATTAGGTTTAATGTCTTTTCAAAACGTTTCTTTGCATATAATAAAAAGAAAATTTGTTTAGTTTAGTGTAAGATCGAAATATATTTCACCTTGTGAACACCAAAAGTTCATATTTCACTCGTGGCTGCGCCACTTGTGAAATATACCTTTTGGTGCTCACTCGGTGAAATATATTCCGATCTTACACTGAACTAAACAAATATCCTCTATATCTCCAATCACAATAAGCAGTGCTCTTGCCCTGGTCAATGTGACATTAAACCTCTACAAATATAAAATATATCTCCAATCACAATAAGCAGTGCTCTTGCCCTGGTCAATGTGACATTAAACCTCTACAAATATAAAATATATCTCCAATTACAATAAGCAGTGCTCTTGTCCTGGTCAATGCGACATTAAACCTCTACAAATATAAAATATATCTCCAATTACAATAAGCAGTGCTCTTGCCCTGGTCAATGTGACATTAAACCTCTACAAATATAAAATATATCTCCAATCACAATAAGCAGTGCTCTTGCCCTGGTCAATGTGACATTAAACCTCTACAAATATAAAATATATCTCCAATTACAATAAGCAGTGCTCTTGTCCTGGTCAATGCGACATTAAACCTCTACAAATATAAAATATATCTCCAATCACAATAAGCAGTGCTCTTGCCCTGGTCAATGCGACATTAAACCTCTACAAATATAAAATATATCTCCAATTACAATAAGCAGTGCTCTTGCCCTGGTCAATGCGACATTAAACCTCTACAAATATAAAATATATCTCCAATTACAATAAGCAGTGCTCTTGCCCTGGTCAATGCGACATTAAACCTCTACAAATATAAAATATATCTCCAATCACAATAAGCAGTGCTCTTGTCCTGGTCCATGCGACATTAAACCTCTACAAATATAAAATATATCTCCAATCACAATAAGCAGTGCTCTTGCCCTGGTCAATGCGACATTAAACCTCTACAAATATAAAATATATCTCCAATTACAATAAGCAGTGCTCTTGCCCTGGTCAATGCTACATTAAACCTCTACAAATATAAAATATGATAATTAATATTCAGAATGTTTAGCTCATTTACAAATCTGATTTTTATTCATTTCAATTTCTTAAATGTAATTGAAAAAAATGTCTTGCCTTTGTTAGCAGCATACAACTAGACCAGCCTGCACATTCAATTCAAATTAACAGATTATTCATTGCTTTGCTTGTAAAAATGATGAATTCAAATTAACATACAATTTATTGCAATGCTGTTAAAAAAATTGTTAATAAAAATAACAGATTATTTGTTGCTTTGCTGGTAAAATGATTAATTCAAAAGAACAGATTATTTGTTGCTTTGCTGATAAAAATGATTTTAAATTAACAGATAATTCATTATTTTGTTGGTAAAAAGGATAACATCAAACAAACAGATCATTTATTGCTTTGCAAGTAAAAAGGATATACCAGTATTCAAATTTAACTCAGTGTGTGTTACTGGTAGATAACACATGGCTTTTACCACAAATATCCAATCAGCCTCATGTCAGCAGGCAAATACACCCAGTCTGACTAGTCTTTAAATTGGTATCTGTTAAATTGATCCTTTTTTTAATTCAAAACTTATTAAAAATGACAACAAGTCAACAATCCCTAATCGAAAGCAGCACAAAGCTGCACAACAATAATATAAATTTTACCTTTGGATTCCTTACAAAGCCTAGATGGTATTTCAAATCAAGATCAACAAAATTTTCGTTACTTCTCACGGTTGATATGATAATGACCTTGAACTCTTGACCTTGAAATTCCTCCACTGACCCCACAGTAATCTCACCTCTTGCCCCATAGTGCTTTTTCTGCACCATCTTGCGTATCTTTTCCACCTGAAATACACAAAATAAACTTACCTGATTACATTCAGAGGAAAATTAACCTTAAAACCTGATGATCTTTTAAATGAACTTGTCCAGCTTCTATTTTTGGAACTGTCCATTATCACTGTTGGGGATAGAAATGTGTCGTCACCCCACGGATGCCCCAGCATGCAGCCACAATTTCAGATGTTATAATATTTAGTTCAAAAATTGTTTGCACAAACTATTTTTTTTCATTTTAAGTTCAAAGCCCTTAAAACTATTCAATTTTAACACAAACCATATTTATACAAAGTTCAAGACACTGAAACTATTCAGTGTTAACCTTTTGTAAATTGCATATTGCATACTTGTAGCCAAAATAACGACTACATTGGAACATGCTGCAGAAATAGTTGAGCGCGGCTAAACTGCCATTTTAATTTTTTCAACAAATTCTCTAAAGGTTTAACATCAAATTTACATTGAAACTGGGCCTTTATTAACTCTAAAACAATGACCCTGTCTACCAGATTTGGAATAAATAACATTATAACAAGGATTTACTGTAAATTCACTTAATTTTCTGGGCATGAAATGTGCAGTTTAAACTGTAAGTTCTGTGGATTCATTTGCTAAAAAGTAAAAAAAGAAGTAGTGTACAAAGAAAAATGCTTGTCTGAAGCAAAACTTTTTCAAAGAACTCTGAGTAAAACCTTGACCTTTGACCTAGAGATCTGGTATGTGCATGACAAGGATTCTCATAGTGGTGAACATTTCTATGAAGTTTCATTAAAATCCCTCAATGCATGTTAGGAGATATGCTCCGGACAAAATTGGACACCACATGTCAACCCACCTGGAGTGTTCCCATAATATGTCCATTTTTGAAACCGGTTTAACAAAAATGATAGCTAGTGTTACAAATGTTTGATGAACACAAAATTTACATAACAATAAAATGTTTCAACCACTATTTTCTACAATACCTGTTTTCTGTAGGGAGATATAATTCCTATATCTGAAGGCTTCAGTTTCTGTCCTCCTTTCTTCTCCTTTAACAACATATCTAGATATTTCTGAACCTGTGAGATCTCATCCCTGTGTGAAATATTGAAGATTAAATCATATGTTAAAGTGACTGGCTTTTGAAAGTGCGTATTTAAGCATATCTTAAAGTGACTGGCTTTAGGAAGCGTGTATTAAATCGTTATAGGTTAAAATACACAACAAAATATGGACTAAAACAGTTTTGATGAATTTTATAGGTTTTTTTATCAAATGATATATAAAAATCAAGTTCATAGTATTGTCATGAATTGCATCAGTTTTCCAGACTACTTAGCATTAAATGCATTAATACTGTGAATTCACTTAATTTCGTTGTTTTAATACAATGAACATTTTAGTGTGTACTTAAATTCTTGGACTGTTTATTTTTCTAAAAGGTAAAATGTAAAAATGTACGCAAAATATTCCTACAGCTGAAGAAATGAAATTTTGTTGCATCTTAACTTTGTGGATTGAATTTGACCTATCCACGAAAACCACGAAAATTAGTTCCCAATGAGTAATAATTACAAAATCAGCAAAAAAAGTAACCCACAAATAACAATGATTTTGCAGTACATGTTTATGGTTTTACAAGGATACTGACCTGTTAAAGAAAGACGGGCTTGATTCTTCTCTCTCGTCTTTGCCAAACACTGAGTGAAATATCACCGGAAATTTCTTATTTGGCAGATGTTCCCACCCGATCATACTGTTCAAGATCATCGGATCTCCACACGGCTGCAGTTCTCCGTCATAAAATAATTCCCGCGGAACTTTGAGAATTGCATCATGGGAACGGTAGTTTCTCACCAGCTTCGTAAGGTAGTGATTATCGTACCCAGAATTCTGTGCTCTCTGATACTCTGGTATATCTGTCATAAGGCGCTCCAAAATGGACTTATCTATTGACAAAAGAAGGAAAAAAATAGTGAATCAATATGAAAAGTAAGTAATATTATTTTCGGAACATCCCTCGTATGTCTAAATTGCCTAATTTTGATCCGAGTGGCATGATTTATAATAATATTGAAGAGAACCACAAAGTAATGAAATACACCAAAGAATTAATCTCTGGGCATCATAATTCTGAAAATAAGATAATTTTTTAAATGTTTCATTTTTAAAGAGGAATCTTAAGCTCTTTCTACCTACATCTGCTCAAGTTTTCATAAAACTTTTTGTAGACGGCCACCTAAGGATCATTCCAGTGAAGTTTGCATCAAATTCTACCACGTTTTTTTTCTACCATGAGTTTTAGAAAAAGATGTTTTGACAATCTCGGATGACAAACGTTTTGCAAGAACAAAAGCTCACCTTAGTCTATGCACTCTGCACTCCGCTAAAACAAACATTTTGAGGCCGCAACAGGCCTCGTACTTACAATATCCAACTAAAATTGGCAAATAACTTAATCACCGAGGTCACCACTCATGAAAATTTGATCCATAAAAAAATAACATTTTAACCATACCTAATCCATAGTTTAATGAGAACTGAGATCTTAGAATAGGTCCCAATTGTTTGGGGTCCCCAGCTATCACCAACTGGCCGCATGCTTGATAACGTGAGTCTAACAGTCCAGTAATTGGTACAATACACTCTGGCTCCACAGCATGGGCTCCCTCATCAATGAAAATGTGCGAGAAATGGTTTCGTGGAAATCCAGCTGAGACCAATCTGCAAAAATAGTAATGTTTAGATTTTAGAGATACATTTACAAACTTAAACAAGCAAACAATCCATGCGAATTCAAAAAAAGCTGGCTAGAATCCAGTAAAAGCCTCTTTTTTTCCGTCATTTTTACAGGCTTTTCTTTATGTTTGTTTGCTCAATCAGTGGCTAATTATCTTTAATTACGTAATACATATAGTGAAAAAAGTCGCATAAAATGTTTGAAGTTACAAAATATTTAAAAAAAAAATCTGAGACACGGTTCCCCAGATATTATAATTATGTTTATATTCCAAAAGTTTGATGACAAAAAAAAATAAAAACGACTTTGATTTGACAATTTAAAATTATAGAATTTTTGTTCAAAATAGATTATTTACATAGGCATTATTTCAAATATGTTATTTTTAATGAAGATCAAAGACATTTAATGCAAAAAAATTAAATAAATAACACTTTTTACTAAAATAAGTTGGTTTAACTGACATTTATGGTAGTAACACGGGAAGTGTCTGTTGTCCCCTTAATTGTCAAGGTCAAATTAAAGTCAAGGTCAAGTTTAATAAAATCTTCTTTAATGTCTTGTCCCAAGCATTGTTGTGTGCAATTAAAATGATATTATAATTTTATTGCTGTACTAAAATCAGAAGCTGTGCATAGGTCTGTGGTGAAATATAATCGATATCATAACCTTCTGAATGTTCTAGTGTCTTCGGTGAAATATACATTTTTATCTTAATGCTGTACAAAAGTCTAAAGTGAAATATGAATTATATCACTACCTTCCAGCTGTACTCAGAGTCACAATCAGGATTCTATGTTTACTAAGTTCAACTCGGGCTGGATAGTAAAAATCCCTTTCAGCATCATCATAATTATATCGTCCCGACTCCTAGAAATAAAAAGTTTTTTTTAAGCTACTATACCATACATTGTAGTTTGGGCGTTTTTGGATTAAAATGTCATTAAAAGTTAAAATTTCACCAAAAGCTTATGCATTTACATGGAACTAGATGATAAATACATGTCTTGTCCAACGAAAAAACATCTTATTAAAGTAATTGTAATGTTTATCCTGCAGTCATTTTTAACTGTTGAAATGTTTTATTTTGTAAATAGTCATTTATATCATAAACACATCCATTAAGCAAGTAGATCAGTTTGTAGCGGAGAGAAACTTTGTGCACTTTTTATACTGCAATCAATTGCTGCACAACACATCATAGAAAATTATGTCTATACAGAGAAACAAAAAAGGAAAAAAAATATCTTGATAATCCAGTTAAAACTGACTTTTATGTAGTAAGTTTGACCTGCATTAAGTTAACAGTATTTGAAAACCTGAAGGGAACCACCAATGTTCTGATGTTCTAAAACACCGTAAAAATAGTGTAAAATTTACCTTTACATAACTAGGGATAGCTACATAAGGTCTAGATACTGCATACATCCGGAAAATTGTGTTCAGTGACACAGTACCAGGCTGGTTCCGATTTATCAGTTTCTTCATAACATAATCGGCCGCAGTGTTCTCCGGACAACACACCAGAATCCTGGCATCGGGCTGGTTGTGGTATACCTGAAGGATAAATAAGTCATATAGTGGCATTCCTTGAGATTACGGTTTGCTAATTCCGTGAAAATTTTGAAAATGTATTAAAAAGTAAAATATTGTGAATTGAACAAAGAAAAAAAAATTCATATTGAAAACCACACTTACAACATATGTAAATTATGGTTCCAAAAGGCCCGAGATCAAAATATGCAAAAAATAGCCTTAATTGCATTAGTAACACAGAAAATTATGACCAAAATACTGTTAAATCAGTCATAAATTGCACATAACATGGAAATTATTCCTGCTATCTTGATTGTTTTGTACTTTTCATAAAGTATGCATATTTATGAGAGTGAACATAAAAGACTTAATGATAAATATGATAATTTTGTATTGACTATGAAATTGAAAAAGCACCTGTCTTATAGCTTCTGTAACTGTTACAGTTTTTCCGGTTCCCGGTGGTCCAAAAATCAAGTAAGGACCTGGACGACTGGTTCCCTGTACAATGTTTGTAACTGCCGTCTGCTGCTCAGGATTCAAACTCCTGTCAAACCATGGCCTGAAAGTTAAATGATGTCATTATCATAATTATAGTAAAAGTGCTCACCATGTCAAAGGGGGTCTTGACCTTGGTGACCTTTACCTTTGACCCCATTCCTGGATGGGTAAAGCTAATCAAGGTGCATGCACTTATAAAGGTTTGGAGGGTGATTTTCATCGTCAATATTCAAGTTCTGTGACAAACAAACAAACAAACAGACAAAATGCCATCTACATTGTATCTTATTATCCAGGGGCATAAAAAATTGTTTCGTCTGAACTTAAGTCGATATCTTTTTTTTTTCCATCAGGCTTTTTCTTTAAACATGGCCACTGATTTCACTCTTATTAGCTAGTCTGTTTCAAAAGCTATAAATCTTGGATCCCGTCAGGCACTTTACATAAATTCATGTTAGGAAGCTATCAAGCCAGCTTAGTAAACATTAATGGTTCTACGCAAGTGCATGCTTATGCCCAAAATAATTCACAAAGAAGCACCTGAAATCTTTCTCCAGCAGTAAAGCTGGAAGGTCACCTTAAGAGTGCCAGAGTACATGTATTTTAAAAACCAACAAAACAAACAAGCATATTTGTCATGCCACCAACACTTAGGGACTGCAATGGAAATAAGGATTTACCCTTTATTGTGTTATCCCTGGTGTTGGTGCTCATGTCATGGTTTGTGTCCCACTCCATGAGTTATATAACCATGTATATACATTATGCCAAAATAAATCTTATCTTATCTTAAAAAACTTACTTCATTTGGATACCTTCTGTCTTGATGGGGAATCTTGATTGAGATGATGGAAAGAGAATAGATTCTGCAACTTGGACACTGTTTAATGCTCGATGTTGCACCCACAAATTGAACTTCATAAAATCAAACCTCACATCATATCTCAAACCTTTGACCCACGGCAGTCTGTAACGAAGAATAGGAAAATAAGTTAGATCAGTTATTAAAGTTACATATTTCACACTACATAAAGGGTGTACTCTTTAATTTTAATCTTTACACCCCTAAAATTTTATAATGGAATGGCCCTGTTTTAAATATATTACTTTCAGGGTTTTCTGAATACGCCAACTGTTGGAAACAGGCAAATGCCCTCATGACCAAAAGTCCTATTTTATAACTAACTCTTCATAAAATAACCAAAAGCCCCTTTAAATGTATCATATTATTTTTATTGAAAAGCCTTTTTTTTGGACTATCAAGGGGCTTGTAGCATTTCTCAAAAAGAGGCTTTTTCCTTAAAGCTGTATGTCTCCAGATCAGCCAAAATATTTCAAGAAAATCCACCTTGGGAAAGTGTACTAAGATTTTTAGGTCAGTAAAAATATTAGCAATTCAAGAAAATAAGTCATAGAAAGAGCATCTGACAAGGCTATCTGATTTGTACGAGGGGGCGTAGCCGACCCGAGTATTAATTGGTTTGTCGAGTGTTTTGATGTTCTTTCTCTTTTGTATCATAGTCAAAAACATAAAAACACGTTCTCTGTTGTCACTATATGAATCTCAAGAAAAAAGTAACCAATGAATGAGCATCTGAACATGTTAATTCTATCGCTTTCCCTTTCTCTGCTGTCACAATAAGTAAACCCCAGCAAAAATGAGCCAATCAATGGGCATGCTCTGGAGTGCGAGTAACTAATACCTGCACTCCAGTTAACGCACTGTGCATTTACATGTATACGATTAAACTCTGACACATTTTCAACAGAAAAGTCACTAAACTATGAACAATGTATGATACAACTGCATGTTTTACACAATTATTATTGGACCAATTTAGAAGTATTTATCACCATATTTCTACTGCGTGACTTACACACACAGTAAGGGCTAAATTAAGATTAAGGGAGTATATTACTTTCTTTGTTACGTTTACAATATTTTTCTTTTAAACACAGTTTTAAAAAATTCATGAAAATTAGCATGAATCTGAAAGCATGCTACTTTAATGCAATTCAGATTTTTGGTGAAAGTTTTTTTTTCCCGTTTTTTTTGTATTCACTCACTTACAATATAGAACCTTACTTTCATCATCAATATTGCTGTTACTATTCAGGAAGTAAAGTGAGTGACAGGTGTCTTTCATTCTCATTTCTTTCAAAATATAATCCTTCTCTTTAAGCAAACATACAAATATCCTCATGTGTTAATGAATAGTGACTTATTTACTTAAATACCTTTGTCCCGCACCAAGGAAAACATTATTCAGTTCCACTCGATGGACATAAGCTTCATACTGAACTGTCCTGTCACCATCGACATACAAATATACCCTGTCTCCCTTTAATATTGACGGTCTTCTTTCCATCAGCCCTGGTACCTGCATTATCAAAACAAGAAAATATTATTTCATATTCATTTACCCTGGTACCTGCATTATCAAAACAAGAAAAAATATTATTTCATATTCATTTACCCTGGTACCTGCATTATCAAAACAAGATATGTTTGTAAAACATGTATGCCCCCTATCAGCAGCCAATTAGTCATGTGATAAGGTTATTATGCATGACTTCTGACCCAGTGATCAAACAATTAATAAGGGTTATAAAGTATCTACTGGTCATGACCTTGACCTTTGACCCCTTGACCCAAAACTCAATAGGGGTCATCTGCTGGTCACGACCAATCATCAAACAAAATTTGAAGTTCCTAGGCCTAGGCGTTTTTAGTAAATTGATCAGAAACCGTTTTTACAGAGGCTCATAGGGAAGACTGGGCTTGCCTAACTATGTTGCCTCTTTAAATAAAGTCTTTATTATTATTATTATTATTATTATTATTATTATTTACCTACAAGGTCAATGTGACCTTGACCTTTGACCCCTTGACCCATAAATCAATAGGGGTCATCTGCTGGTCATGACCAATCACCATGCCAAGTTTGAAGTTCTTAGGCCTAAGGGTTCTCTTATTATTGATAGGAAACCGTTTTTAACATACAAGGTCAATGTGACCTTGACCTTTGACCCCAAAATCAATAGGGGTCATCTGCTGGTCATGACCAATCACCATGCCAAGTTTGAAGTTTCTAGGCCGAAGCGTTCTTTAGTTATTGATCAGAAACCGTTTTTACTTACAAGGTCATTGTGACCTTGACCTTTGACCCCTTGATCCCAAAATCAATAGGAGTAATCTGCTGGTCATGACAAATCACCATACCAAGTTTGAAGTTCCTAGGCCTAAGCGTTCTTGAATTATTGATCAGAAACCGTTTTTACTTAAAAGGTCAATGTGACCTTGACCTTTGACCCTTCACCTAAAACTCAATAGGGGTCATCTGCTGGTCATGACCAATCATCACACAAAGTTTGAAGTTCCTAGGCCTAAGCGTTTTTTAGTTAATTGATCGGAAACTGTTTTTACCTACAAGGTCAATGTGACCTTGACCTTTGACCCCTTGACCCCAAAATCAATAGGTCATCTGCTGGTCATGACCAATCACCATACCAAGTTTGAAGTTCCTAAGCATAAGGGTTCTTAAGTTATTGATCGGAAAGCATTTTTACGTACAAGGTCAATGTGACCTTGCCCTTTAACCCCTTAACCCCAAAATCAATAGGGGTCCTCTGCTGGTCATGACCAATCACCATACCAAGTTTGAAGTTCCTAGCCTAAGGGTTCTTTAGTTATTGATCGGAAACCGTTTTTACCTAAGAGGTCAATGTGACTTTGACCTTTGACCCCTAGACCCCAAAATCAATAGGGGTCATCTACTGATCATGACCAATCACCATCTCAAGTTTTGAAGTCCCTAGGCCTAAGGGTTCTTTCATTATTGATCGGAAACTGTTTTTACCTACAAGGTCAATGTGACCTTGACCTTTGACCCCTTAACGCCAAAATCAATAGGGGTCATCTGATTGGTCATAACCAATCACCATACCAAGTTTGAAGTTCCTAGGCCTAAGGGTTCTTTTGTTATTGATCAGAAACCGTTTTTAATTAAAAGGTCAATGTGACCTTGACCTTTGACCCCAAAATCTATACGGGTCATCTACTGATCATGACCAATCACCATACCAAGTTTGAAGTTCCTATGCCTTAAGGTTCTTTAGTTATTGATCGGAAACCGTTTTAACCTACAAGGTCAATGTGACCTTGACCTTTGACCCCTTGACCCCAAAATCAATAGGGGTCATCTACTGATCATGACCAATCACCATACCAAGTTTGAAGTTCCTAGGCCTAAGGGTTCTTTTGTTATTGATCAGAAACCGTTTTTAATTAAAAGGTCAATGTGACCTTGACCTTTGACCCCTTGACCCCAAAATCTATACGGGTCATCTACTGATCATGACCAATCACCATACAAGTTTGAAGTTCCTAGGCCTTAAGGTTTTTTAGTTATTGATCGGAAACCGTTTTTACCTACAAGGTCAATGTGACCTTGACCTTTGACCCCTTGACCCAAAAATTAATAGGGGTCATCTACTGATCATGACCAATCACCATACCAAGTTTGATGTTCCTAAGCCTTAAGGTTCTTTTGGTATTGATCGGAAACCGTTTTTACCTACAAGGTCAATTGTGACCTTGACCTTTGACCCCTTGACCCCAAAATCAATAGGGGTCATCTACTGATCATGACCAATCACCATACCAAGGTTGAAGTTCCTAGGCCTTAAGGTTCTTTAGTTATTGATCAGAAACCGTTTTTGCTTACAAGGTCAATGTGACCTTGACCTTTGACCCCTTGACCCCAAAATCAATAGAGGTCATCTACTGATCATGACCAATCACCATACCAAGTTTGAAGTTCCTAGGCCTTAAGGTTCTTTAGTTATTGATCGGAAACCGTTTTTGCTTTTAAGGTCAATGTGACCTTGACCTTTGACCCCTTGACCCCAAAATCAATAGGGGTCATTCAACTGGTCATGACTAATCACCATACCAAGTTTGAAGTTCCTAGGCCTTAAGGTTCTTTAGTTATTGATCGGAAACTGTTTTTGCTTTCAAGGTCAATGTGACCTTGACCTTTGACCCCTTGACCCCAAAATCAATAGGGTCATCTACTGGTCATGACCAATCACCATACCAAGTTTGAAGTTCCTAGGCCTTAAGGTTCTTTAGTTATTGATCGGAAACCGTTTTTGCTTTCAAGGTCAATGTGACCTTGACCTTTGACCCCTTGACCCCAAAATCAATAGGGGTCATCTACTGGTCATGACCAATCACCATACCAAGTTTGAAGTTCCTAGGCCTAAGGGTTCTTTAGTTATCACTCGGAAACCATTTGGTCTACGGACCGACGGACCGACAAGTGCAAAGCAATATACCCCCTTTTTTTCAAAATGGGGGCATAATAAGAAATTGTTATTAAATTTGCATTAGCCCGGGTACATGCACTTTCAAACATGTCAAAGTGTTAAAAATGTAACAAAATTTAAATTAGCCCCGGTACATGCATTATCAAAATAATCAAAATATCATTTTAGTTTCCTCAAGCCATGCTATCTGTATTGTCAAAACAACATAATATCATTAAATTTTCCATCATTCTTAGTAAATGCACAATCAAAACATAGAAAAAAAATATCTGTATAATTTTTAATGAAAGATTTATTTGTCTATAACTCATGTTACTACGAACATGTCTTAACTAAAGAAAATTAGTGAATTTATATGTGCTCAAAATCAAAACTATTCACCACAAAACTTTTGTAAGGTCTCTTTATTTTATATTAGTTACTGCAGTTTGGCTGTCAAGCCTTGATAATTATGCCAATTATCTATATCAATTATAAACCTGAGGGTAAAATCACATGTCTGTCATTTACTGAAACACTATCCACATGAGAAATATCTCACTACATGAAAATATCTCACTACATGAAAAATATCTCACTACATGAAAATATCTCACTACATGAAAGTATCTCACTACTAGAGAAATATCTCACTACATGAAAATATCTCACTACATGAAAGAATCTCACTACTAGAGAAATATCTCACTACATGAAAAATTAATCACTACATGAAAAGTATCTCACTACTTGAGAAATATCTCACTACATGAAAAATACATCACTACATGAAAAATATATCGCTACATGAGATATATCTCACTACATGAAAATATCTCACTACATGAAAAAATCTCACTACACAAGAAATATCACACTACATGAGAAATATCTCACTTCATGAAAAATATCTTACTACATGAGAAATATCTCACTACAGTACATGAGAAATATCTCAATGCATGAAAAATACCTCACTACATAAAAATATCTCACTTCATGAGAAATATCTCACTACATAAGAAATATATCACAACATTACCTCTAGGATTTTGAGATTTGAGCCCCTGTCTTGCTCCAGTGTAACATTTAACATGTCATATCTTTTGATGTCTTCAACCATCTGCAATTCTTCAATCCAAAGCAGGGTATCAAATTTATTCTTTGTAGTTTTTCGGAGTTAAATCACGTCGCAAGTACATTCCTGTGAATAGGTTATAATTAAAATTAATGCCATCAGTTGCCATGGTAATAGATATTTTTGTTACCCGTAGACTGTGAATAAAGTTATATGAAGGAATACAAAAAATTGGAGGTCTGGCAAATATTTTTAAAACAAGACATACGCACAGCAGAATGTCGAGCCACTCATCTTAATTCAAACCTGAACCTTTAAGCTTTCGATCAAGGAGAAAGATGAAATACATTGGTTTGAGATGTGCGCAACACATCCTCTACACAAAGAAATCTTGACATTGCATCATCTTAGGTGACCTTGACTCGGTGATCTGGTTTATGTGCATGACACAAAGTTTCATGATGAATATTTGTGCCTAAAAAACTCATGTTATTTGAAAATTCCTGGATGCGGCATGGACAAGTTTTGACGCACACACCCACTCACACAAAACAGGTTTTTGACATTTATGTCGAGCTCAGCGCAAAAGGGCCCATCACATATCACCTGACCACTAAGCATAAAACTTCAAAGCATAAGCAAGATACAGTGCTTTCAAACAAATTTTATATTCTTATTTGGCCTTTGACCTGTTCTGAGCTTGATTTTGCGCAAGACAACTCAACTCACCATGGAGAACATTTTATTAGTTATATCTAATCCAGCCACACATTAGAAGTAACGCTCCAGACACGGACTTTGGGCCGGCCCCAAGTGTGACCTTGACCTTTGAGCAACAGACCTTTGTTTTGGGTATGACACACCACCCCAAATTGAGAACATTTTTTTTCAAAATTTTGTTTCCCCTTTTAAAGAATGAAAAAAGGTTTAAAGTTCAAGCTTTCAAATTATAAAAAAATTAAAAAGTTTTAAAAGGGTAAGCATTTTAATTCCATTTACAACAAGTTCAAATTTAAACTTATCCCTTAGTTTTTAAATGAAAATCCCCATATTTCCTGTGAGGGACCCGTTAACTTGGGTTTGAGATTTTGGTCCCGGCAGGGGCACAAGTTTTTTTCCGTGAAAAGAAAATTTTCTTTGATGCCCTTAAAAAATCAGATTTTTATGTTACTTTGTACTTTAATAGGGCTTTTGGTACTTTTGTTTTCTTTGGGAAAATCGTGACTTTAAAGTTTAAAAATAAACGCTGTGAAATTTCATAAAAAAACTCATTTTTTTCTCTAAATAGGAATTTTTACATTTTATTAAATTCTTATAAATATTTCTGACAGGTTATATGGCCGTATAAAAATGGCTCTATGCAATAAACACTGCAAATAGTGGCTCAGGCTATATTTCTGAACAACAGTTTATTTGAGCCATACAACCTGTCAAAAAAATCTTTATAACTGATAAATATACAAAACAGGGCTTTAAATTTGATTCAGGGCCTCCGTGGTTGCTGACTTGGAATCTCTATTTCCAGTTCAAATCACACTTATGGTTTAAATTGTTCATGTGAGGAAGATATCCAGGTGTTTTACAACAGGTCGCTGATCAGTTTTGGTACCAACTATGCCTCAATATGTACACATTCTTCTTCCACCACTAAAGCCATTAAGATGCCTTATGTTATTCACAGAGTAGATGTCTCAAAAACCGTACCAATAAACTTACTTAAAACACTCTTTACGTCCATGCCACAGACTAGACCTAGCACTGGTTTCATATGCTGGAAATATAGGACATGACCACGATAGGTCTCAAATCCATAACCTCTGTGTTGAGTGGCATTTAAGACCACTGCACATCTTTTGCATATCATTTGGTGACTAAGCAAGAAGATATCATACAAATACACCAGTAAAGAGCCATGTAAGCCTGTACATCCACATGGTATCTGACCAGGTTCTATAATGTTGGTAGGCTGGCAGCCTGGTTGCTTGATTTTAGGATTTTGATATTGAAATTCCTTATCAAGACACAGCCACTGCCCTGTGACCAGTCACTGTTTCCAGTCATTATTTAAACTTTGAGTGGACTGTTACAAATTCAAAGTTAGGCAATCCATTACACAAATTCAGTATGGTCAAACTTACTTAGGCAGTGGTTCCCCTGGTATTGTCTGTTCCACTAAATCATCTGAGATTTGATCCGGGTACCGGAATGGTGCAACTGGGGCTAGATCATCATGCATGTCACCTGTTAATAATAAAACTATCACCATGTTAAACTGATCACATTTAAGACAAGAAAAATTATAAGTGGGTTTTCAAAAGGGGGAAAAAATTTAAAAATTTTAATTTGGTAAAATTTCCCCCTTTTTTTTTAAAAGGTAAGGGGCCTAATAATAAAAAAAAGATCCTTTTAAAAATTTTTATTAAAAAAATTGGGCAACAAAAACGGAGTTTGAAAAAACATTAAAAAGGGGGTAAAAAAAGGTTTTTGGTTTTTGGCCACCCAAAATTTAGAATCATTTTTTTAAAAAAAAACCCTTAAAAATTAAAATTAAAATTGTTTTGAAAAAAAAATGGAAAAATAATTTTATTGGAAAAACTATTCAAAAAAGGAAACCCAAAAAAAGGGGTTGATTGAAATGAAGCCCCACAAAATTTTTAATTTTTTAATGCAAAAAAAAGGGAAAAAAATTTAAAAAAAAAAAAATCAAGGTTTAATTTTTTTTTGGGGGGTTTAAAGGGAAATTGCCAAGGAATTTCAAATAAAAAAAAAATTTTTGGCAGGGAAATTTTAAATTACAAAAAAAAAATTAAAAAAAACAGAAAAAAAAAATAACCTTTTTTTTAAATTTTCTCACAAAAAGAAAAAGGGGAAAAATCGTTAAAACCCCAAAAAAGATTCCCAAAAACCAAAAAAAATTTTGCCAAAAATAAAATTTTAAAATTTTCCTAAAAGTACGGGAAAAACTTTTAACACCATAATTATCACCAAAGACACCCCCCTCACTTCCAAAATAAAAAGCCAGGGGGAAAAATATCCAAAGTTTTCCCCGGGGCCTTATTACAGTTTTTTAAAAAAAATACCTAATAAATTATTGCCAAAAAAAATTTTTTCTTTTTTAAAAAACCCTTTAATTTTCCCAATTTTAATTAAAAAAAACCAATTTAAGTTACAAAAATAAATTTTTAATCTTTTAAATTAAGAAATTTTTTTTAAAAAAAGGGGGAAAAAAAAAAAAAATTTTTAAAGGATTTTTTCCCCTAAAATAATCAAATGCTTTTTTTTGGCTGAACTTCCCCTTTTAAAAAAACCCCAAAAAAAAAATAAAAAATTTTAAAAAAGGCCCCTTTTTTCCAGAAATTAAGGTAATTTTTCCAAAAAAAAACAAAAAATTAAAAAATTAAAAAAAAATTTATTTTGAAAAAGGGATTTTGAAAAAACCTTGGGGGGAAATAACAAATAATGGTTTTTTTTCCCTTTTTTAAAAAAAAAAAAAATTTATTTAAATTATTAAAATTTAGATTATAAAAAAAAATTTATAAAATACCAAAATTTTCCCTTTTTTTTAAAAAAAATTTAAAAAAATCTTAAAAAAATTTTTAAATTTTTGTGCAAAAAGGGGGGCCGGAAAATTTCAATTTTTTAAAATTTCAAAAGGAAAAGGGGAAATTTTCCCAAAAAAAGTTAAAGAAATTTTTTAAAAAAAATTTGAAAATCGCCATGGCGAGGCTTTGACCTGGTGCACTGTCTTTCTCAATCATACCGGCTGCATTGGGTTTTGGATCCGACGTTATCAGTATATCCTCAGGACAAAAATTGCGCTCATCTCTAAAAAAAAAGAAAATGACTCCAACTAAATATCAAGTTCAACAACACTCTTTTTTTCCATAAGTATACTAAAATGGAAATGAAAATGTAGATAATTAATTTCTCTGTCAAATAATATTGCACAACTATCTGATAATATTAATAAAACTTTACATATCAGAACTTGAACCAGGCCCGGCAAAATCTGATTTATACTTGCCTGTAAGTTTTACCAGATGCATTTTTTTATTTGGCGATATCTGGAAAAATTACACTTCTCCGTTCAGGCTGTGGGACACTCTAAGCAATAAGGACAAACCCTGCAGGCAATATCATAGGAAAAAGCACTACGAGGGCTATTTAACTAATGAACTAAGCACTTTAACCATTAGACTACTGGAGGCAACTGGTTATACCCATACAACCAGTCCAGACACCACCATGCCATCTGGTATAAATGGTCTGCACCTGTTTGCTATTCATACAGTTGGTATTTTAAAAAATTCCCTAAAATAATAAATGGTTTTGTCCAGATTAAACAATGGACAAGTCTATTTTAGATATTTAGCATGTTAATGGTTAATTACTGAGTGCAGAAAATAATTATCTTTTCATTGATTTTTGCTTTCAGTTCTAACAGTGGAAATCCTTTGAAATAAAGCATAAGTGCTTGACTTAATATTATTTTGTTGATTGACATTCTATCTTGCAACATTACCTTGCAACATATGTTCTTTTCATTGAAATCAGAGAAATCAAAAACACATAGCTCTGTGTTTTTCTTTTCTTTCTATAACATAAACAACTACCCCAAAAAGGTACTGTTCCCAATGAAAAATAGAAATTAAAATTCCCAATATCTAATGCTAAAATGACTGTTCAAAATTCCCACAAGGTCTTGAGATTTCTCTGAAATCATTTAAAATCAAACATATTTATATGAATCTCCACTCAATAGTTCTACCTGGACAGTGGAAGCTGTTTATAGCTGTCTTTATTCATGATGACTAATCTTATTTGTAGCTGAAAAAATGCATTTTTGAAAATTCCCTAATTAAGTCAAAATAACGCATTTTCCCAATCTGAATCTGGTACCGGCACCATTCCCAAAGTAAAGAAAAAAAAACGCTGTAGCTTACTATGATTTGGTTTAAGACCCACTATTTCGCAGAAATGGTTTTATTTATATTTGTCAAAAGCTTTTTTTTCAATTTTGAGGTAACATGTTATATAGTTATTAGTTACCAAAAGTTACTCTTTAATCAATCGGCCAATTTACTGAACCATCTTTTAATTTTGTA